TGGGGGCCCGGGAGGCCAGGTCGTGGGCGGGGGGCAGGAGGAAGAGGAGGAGGAAGAAGAAGAAGAGGTGAGACACGGGTGGTGGGAGGTAGGGCGCGGATATATTTCGGAGATTTCTACTTTTCTTGCTGTCTCTGGGTCCCTGCATCTCTTCCTCCCCTCAGTTATTCCCGCGCCCCTCTGCCTGTCTCCCTGCTTGGGGGAGTCTGGACGTCTCTGTGGTTCTCTGTCAATGTGACTCAGGACCTGCCCGCAGGAACTTGCCCTGTTCCTGCCTGGAACGTCCGGCTGGCTGTCCCTGCGGGTCTCTGGCCCTCTCTGCCTCTGCCTGCCCGAGTGTGCCTGCCTCTCTGAGTAGTTATGTCTTGGTCCCTGTCTCCCTCCTTGTTTTTGTTTGGCGGGGAGGGGTTTGTTTCCACAGTAACCACCTCCTGTGACTCTGGGATTGGGGAGGGAACCCTCAGATTTCGTGACCCCTCCCTCCTTCCCCCTCTCCCTATTCACCTTCCCCCCCCTTCCCCCGGCCATGGGGCTGGGTAAAGGCGGGGAAATCAAGGTTCTGAGACCTGGGGGGACGAACCCAGGCTGGGTAGAGTGGTCACTTGCTTTCCTTATGGACTAATGGTGGGGGTCAGGCGCAGGATATGGGGCCCGGAGGCCTTGGACTCCTGGGTCCAGACAGTGGGTGAGGGCAGGGTGACTGGCAGGGCTGGTTTTTCGGGATCCGTCGGGGGAGGGGCTGGGGCCACGTGACTCTCTTGAGTCTACCCCCCCATCATCCCTACTTCCCCTTCTCCTTCCTGTATTGGGATTGGAGCTGCCACCTTCAGGGGGTTTCCTGGGCTGAGATAGAGGAGGCCCTACCCCAGGGGACCAGGGTGAAAGGGGGCCTGAGGGAAAGGATTAAGTCTTTGGGCTAGTCAGGTCCTAGGCGGGGGAGGGCGGGGCATGTGGCTGTGCCTGTGACTGAGGTCGCTGCCTCTGGCTTTCTGCCTCTCCCTTTCCTCTCCTGCCCTTTGCACCCTGCTTGTCTGCTGTGTTGGGGTTCAGCTCTGGGGGGAAGGGGCTTCGGGAGTCTCCAGGATCAGGGTTCCTGCACTCCATCCACCCCCCGACTGCAACCCCCTCGACTCCACCGGGCCCTGAGGCGGCTGGGGGGGGGCTGTCTGGGCTCCAGTGGGGGAGACCTGGGGTCACCAGCCCCCCCCACCCCTCGCACTCGCTGGTACTATCCCCCGCCACCACAGGTGAGGGGTACAAAGGGAGGAGCAGGGAGGGCCTGGGGTGTATGAGGGCAGAGGGCAGTGGGGGGTGGTGTGAAACTGTCTGACTTCCTTTTCCTTGCTCCTCCAGGCCCCTGTGTCTGTCTGGGATGAGGAGGAGGATGGTGCTACCTTTACTGTCACAAGCCGCCAATATCGGCCTCTTGATCCCTTGGTGAGATCATGACTTTGGTTTCTCTCCTCTGACTTGTCACTCCCAGTATCCCTTCCTCTGGCTTACTTTCTGGCCAGATTGCTAGATTGGAAGTCTGGAGTCCTGGACTCTTCTGTGTGACCGGGCCAAGTCTTTTGCCCTCTCTGAATCTCAGCAAAATAAGCCCGGATCATCTCCTGTGTCTGGGATTGTCCTCAGAGATGTAGGGGCAGAGTTGAAGAAAGGATCAGTGAGTGACCATCTCTCTGTGCCCTCCAGGCCCCCACACCTCCCCCGCGTTCCTCCCGACGGCTCCGAGCTGGCACTCTGGAGGCCCTGGTCCGACACCTACTGGATACCCGGACATCAGGGGCTGACGTGACCTTCATGTCAGCCTTTCTGGCCACCCACCAGGCCTTCATCTCCACGCCTGCCCTCCTAGGGCTTATGGTTGACAGGTTAGGGTCACAAGGGACCAAGGGTTGTGGAGGTGTCTGGACTTCCTAAAGCCCCAATATCCCACCAAAATAGTCAAAGCCATTGGGGGTTTGGGAAGAATGGACAGCAAGGTTCTTTTCTCCTCCTCAGGCTAGAAGCCCTTGAATCTCATCCTACTGATGAACTAGAGAGGACAACAGGGTGAGTGACCCCTACTTCTTAGTTTCACAGTCCCTGCTGCCCATGCTCCAGCTTTGCCTCTGACCCTTGGCTGATTCCCCTTCTCCCAGGGTAGCCATCTCTGTACTGTCAACCTGGCTGGCCTCTCACCCTGAGGATTTTGGCTCTGAGGTCAAGGGTCAGCTTGACCGGCTTGAGAGCTGCTTACTTCGGACAGGGTATGCAGCAGGGGAGGGTGTTGGGGGGGGCAGCGCTGACCTCATCCGCAACCTCCGGTCCCGGGTGGACCCCCAGGCCCCCGACCTTCCTAAGCCCCTGGCCCTCCCCGGCGACCCCCCTGCTGACCCCACGGATGTCCTGGTGTTCCTCGCTGACCACTTGGCCGAACAGCTGACCCTGCTAGATGCGGTGAGACCCTGACCTCTGACTCCCATGCCCCCTGACCCCTTACTAGTCTCTCCTTGACTCCAGATCCTTCCCTTGCTTCCAACCCTTTCTGATCCAGCTCCTAGCCTCTTCCGTCTACCATTTTGACCTTTCCCCCTTTCCCCTTGGTTGTTACCCTTCAAGCCCTGTGCCCCTCTGGTTCCTTGGCCACCTGAGATCCTCAGATACCTGATTTTGGAAGGCTGACCTCACTTGACTATGAACTTTAACCTCTGACCTCTGCCTTGCAGGAGCTGTTTCTCAATCTGATCCCTTCACAGTGCCTGGGGGGCCTGTGGGGTCACAGAGACCGACCAGGACATTCCCACCTATGCCCATCTGTCCGAGCTACTGTCACACAGTTCAACAAAGTGGCAGGGGCAGTGGTTAGCTCTGTTTTGGGGGCCACTTCAACCGGAGAGGGGCCTGGGGAGGTGACCATACGGCCACTCCGTCCCCCACAGAGGGCCCGGCTCTTGGAGAAGTGGATCCGCGTGGCAGAGGTAAGAGGCTTGCCCTGTGGTTGGGGACCATGGAGTGGAAAGGGCTCCCACAGTCTTAGTTTCCTCTTGGACCTCCACAGGAGTGCCGGCTGCTTCGAAACTTCTCTTCAGTTTATGCTGTTGTGTCAGCCCTGCAGTCCAGCCCCATTCACCGGCTTCGGGCAGCTTGGGGGGAAGCAACCAGGTGGGGAGGATGGGGCACGGGACTGGGGTGGGTGCTCCTCAGAGGTCTGGGAAGTGGGTGGTTGAGCCAGGCCTGTCTTCAGGGCCACTGTCCTCCCTTCCCAGGGACAGCCTCAGAGTCTTTTCCAGTCTCTGCCAGATTTTTTCTGAGAAGGATAATTATTCCCAGAGCCGAGAGCTACTCCTGCAGGTGAGGCCATTTTCTGGCATTCCTAGCCATGCGTGCTCTCTACTCCTCCTCCATATCCTTGTTTTGTCACCACTAGGAGGTGAAGCTGCAACCCCTTCTGGAACCACACTCCAAGAAGGCCCCGAGGTCTGGCTCCCGGGGAGGGGTGAGTGCCTAGCGGGGGTGGGAAGATGGCTTTAGAAGGAGTAAGGACCGGATTTGGGGTAGCAGTCTGTGGCGTGGGAAAGGGAGGTGCAGAGGGGTGTGGAGAATGAAATCTGTTCTCTGAGGCAATGGGGAGGGAAAGGGTGGCAGGGGTGTCTGACCCAGACCCCTGATCTCAGGGCGTGGTCCCATACCTTGGCACCTTCCTGAAGGACCTCGTGATGCTGGATGCAGCCTCCAAGGATGAGCTGGAGGTTGGTGGTGTGGTATGTGTGTGCACTGAGATGGATGGCATAACAAGTGGGCTGCCGAGTCAGATAGACCTCACTCACTCCAAAAAGTACAAATAGCTGAGAGTAGAGCTCTGCAGCCAGATCAGTTACTGTAGCCAGGTGCTGAACCTCTGTGTGCCTTAGTGATCTGTAAATGGGAAACTAGCCTCAGTATCTACATCTGTCTGTTATTGTGAGGGCTAAATGAACTCATGTTTGGCAAGTGTTTAGAACATGCCTGAAACAAGCATATATAGAAGTTGTTCAATAAATACTGAGCCCTTGGGCAAGTTCCTTAGCTTCTTTGAGCCCTAGTTTTCTCATTTGTAAAATAGACACATTTTCTACCTGAGATACAAGGGGGGACCCCCCCAAAAACCAGAATTATCTTTTGGAGGGCAGGCCCCTTGTAGTACACTTGGAATTTGTTCCTCTGGATCAAACCATCAATCAAAGTTTTTATCTGGAAGTTTTGCGAAGGTTGCGCCACGATTTGTGGAAGAAAGGTCCCAAGTTGTGGCAAAGAGGTGACTGGTTCTTTCACCATGACCATCCAACTGCTGAGTGTTCAGCAGATTTTGACCAAAGATGCATGAACCCCCTGCCTCACCCTCCCTATTCACCCAGTCTCCCCCACCAAGTGACTTTTTTTTGTTTCCCTGGATTAAAAATCTTCAAAGAGACTGATGTGGAAGAGGTAAAACAAAAAACAGCAGAAGTACTAAGAGGCATCAAAATTGATGAGTTTAAAAACTGTTTTGAGGCTGGGTATAGTGGCTCACGTAATCCCAGCACTTTGGGAGGCAGAGGCGAGAGGATTGTCTAATCCCAGGCAAGGGTTTGAGACCAGCCCAGGCAACTTGATGAAACTTCATCTCAACAATAAACAAATAAAAAAATTAGGCCGGGCTCAGTGGCTCAGCCTGTAATCCCAGCACTTTGGGAGGCCGAGGTGAGTGGATTGCCCGAGCCCGTGGGTTCGAGACCCACCTGGGCAACTTGGCGAGACCTCATCTCCACTATAAATAAAAAACTAGCTGGGCATGGTAGCGCGTGCCTGTAGTTTCAGCTACTTGGAAGGCTGAGGCAGAAGGATCGCCAGAGCCCAGCAGGTCAAGGCTGCAGTGGCTGGGAGCGGCCATTACACTCCAGTCTGGGTGACAGAGTGAGACTCCAACTCAAAAAAATAAAATAAAATAAAATAAATAAAAAAAATAAAAAAGTTAGCCAGGTGCGATTGTGTGTGCCTGTAGTTTCAGCTACTTGGAAGGCTGAAGGGGAAGCATTGCTTGAGCTCAGCATCAGGTTGAGGCTGCAGTGACTGTGACCGTGGCAAGCACTCCAGCCTGGGCAACACTTTGACTCAAACCCCCCCCCAAAAAACAACAACAACAAAAAAAAGCTATTTTGAGCAGTGGAAAAAGTGTCTCGATAGGTGTATTGCATCAAATGGAGAGTATTTTGAAGGTGACTAAGGTTTAAACATGTAAGAATAAATACACAAATCTTTAATAAATAAATTTCCTTTTTGGGGGTCCCCCGGTACACAATTTAAAGGGTCGAGAGTGCATAGATAGATAGAGAGGGAGGGCGAGGAGTGATGGAGGAGTCAGAGAGGCCAGAGGGAAGGTTTGAGTTGGATGTGGATGTGTGTGCAATTAAGATGGATTCTTCTTTCTGTGACCTGGAAGGCAAGGCTAGTACTTTCATCCCCTCCCCATTTTCCTTGCAGAATGGCTACATCAATTTTGACAAGCGGAGGAAGGTGAGAGGAATGCATGGGCTGGATGCTAGGCATCTCTATCTGTGTCCTAGTAAGGGAAGAAGGCGGGGAAAGTCGGGGGTTCCTGAGTTTTGGCTCCTGCAGTTTGAGGGCTCCTTCCCAGGAGTTTGCTGTCCTTTCTGAGTTGCGACGGCTCCAGAACGAGTGTCGTGGCTATGACCTCCGACCTGACCATGATATCCAACGGTGGCTGCAGGGGCTCCGGCCACTGACAGAGGCCCAGAGGTGACTGGTTGGGCAAGGTTGGAACTTCCGGGCTCTTGTTGGGTGTGGAGGGTTGGTGTTACGTCCTGATCTCTGCCTATTGTCCCTACCCCAGCCACCGTGTGTCCTGTGAGGTGGAGCCACCTGGTACCAGTGACCCCTCTGCCCCACGGGTGCTTCGGCCAACACTGGTCATCTCGCAGTGGACAGAGTGAGAGATTCAGCGGTTGGGGATGGTTTCTTGGGACTTTCCATTCTTCCTCTGACCCTCCCAATCTCCTGCCATTTTAGGGTTCTGGGCTCTGTTGGGGGTCCCACTCCCCTTGTGTCCTGGGACCGGCCCAGTATGGGGGGAGATGAAGCAACTGGAACCCCTGCTCCTCTGCTGACCCGGCTGGCCCAGGTGAGCTCTGCTCCTGACCTCTAAACTTGACACTGACCCCGGCTCTGTGAATGTTTCTTCCTTAGCCTCCCTGTCTTCATGCCAGTCTCCCCATGTTTTTGTTCCTAGCACATGAAGTGGCCATCTGTCTCATCACTAGACTCTGCCCTGGAAAGCAGTCCATCCCTGCACAGTCCAGCTGACCCTAGCCACCTCTCTCCCCCAGCCTCCTCCCCCAGGCCTTCTCGAGGTCACCGCCGCTCAGCCTCCTGTGGCTCTCCGCTGAGTGGGAGTGCAGGAGAAGGGGCCTCCAGGGGGACTGGACATGGGGGAGGGGGATCTGGGCCAGGGTCCTCTGATTGTCGAATCATCCGAGTCCAGATGGAGCTGGGGGAAGATGGCAGTGTCTATAAGAGCATCTTGGTGAGGGAGCATTGGCTTGGGGGTGGAGGTGAAGGATGGTACCTTGTTGGACTATAAATGTTGTCTTGGGTTTGGGCAGCCAAATGGAATTTATTCTAGTTTTAATTTTGATGTTTGGTTTTGGCAGTTATGTTTTGATGGCTACTTTGCATTAGCTGCTGCACCCTGAAGTTCTGGTGGCCATAATAGATTTTCAGAAACAAAATCAGTTTTCTCATAGGGGAGCAACCCTATTTCACTGGGCCCTATGTAGGCAGGTTTATTGGAAACAGGGAGTCACCATAGTGGGTTTCCCTGTTCATTTTAGATACCAGTAATCTTTTTAGGTTGGGTCAATGGCTGAGGTTGGAAGGATGGGAAGCAGGCCATCATGGCTAAATTATTGTTCTTTTGGTCTTCTGTCCCGCCAGGTGACAAGCCAGGACAAGGCTCCAAGTGTTATCAGTCGTGTCCTTAAGAAAAACAATCGTGACTCTGCGGTGGCTTCAGAGTATGAGCTGGTCCAGCTGCTACCAGGGGAGCGAGGTCAGAACCATGAGGGAAAGACAGACTTGGGAGGATGATGGAGTACCTCCACATCTGGGCGGTGTGTGGGGAACAGCTATGTCTGTGCTTGACATCCATCCTCTGAACCTGCAGAGCTGACTATCCCACCCTCGGCTAACGTTTTCTACGCTATGGATGGAACCTCACATGATTTCCTCCTGCGCCAGCGACGAAGGTCCTCTACTGCTATACTAGGCCACACCAGCGGCCCCTCTGCCTCAGGAACTCCTCCGAGTGAGGGAGGAGGGGGCTCCTTTCCCAGGATCAAGGCCACAGGGAGGAAGATTGCACGGGCACTGTTCTAAGGAGGAAGCCCTGTTGGCTTATAAGTCATGGTGTCTGTATCAGATGTGGGTAGCCATCCTGAATGGTGGCAGTTATGTCACATTGGGACAGAAGTTCAGAAAGGTAGCCAGCTACCCTGGGGCAGTGAAGTGCCTGTCACTGGTTTACCAGCAAGCTGAGAAATCCAGCCCTGTGGGAACCGGTAATCTTGTAGCCAAGCTGGATACCTGTGTACAGCTCCTGACCTCCCATGAACATGGCACAGCTAGTGCTGGAAAAGGAATCAGTTTCATTTCTGGTCACATGCAAATGGCAAAGGAAAGGCCTAAAGGCTCTGAGCCCCAGGTCAAACAAGGATGGCAAGTAGGTTCAAGTAGGAGTTCCTTTTCTCACTCTGGGGTTCTTATCACTGTGACAACACTAAGATAATAAACCAAACACTACCTGACATCTACTCACCCTGTTGTTGCAGTACATGAACTGGCTGCTGGGAGTGGGGGTGGGGAACTGGCTGAAGATACAGCCTTGCAACAGGGAGGGGCACATTGTATTCTGCCCCATGAAGAGCTAATAGTTTACCCCTCTCCACCCTGGTCCCTTTATTTACTATTAAATTTTTCTTGTCAGTTGCCCTGCACCCATGTCAAAGTAGTAGCCAACAAATTGTATTAAGGACTCCCCTGGCTGCAAATTTGTAAGAAGCAATTTTAAAATTAAAACAAAGAAATGTTAGAACTTTGTGAGCAACATACAAACTTGAAGACTTACAATACCATAAAGAATTATGTGCTGAGATTTTAAATCACTTTATGCTACATTCAAATGAATTCAAGGAAGACAGAGGCTACAAAGAACAAAAAGAAATGCCAGGGCAGCCTGGGCGCAGTGGCTCATGCCTATAATCCCAGCACTTTGGGATGCCTGGGCAACTTGGCAAGACATCTCTACAATAATCAAAAAATTAGCCGGGCGTGGTGGCACGTGCCTGTGGTCCCAGGTATTTGGAAGGCTGAGGTAGAAGGATCACCTAAGCCTAGCAGGTTGAGG